CTTTCTTTTATAAGTTGAAGAACATTACTTTGGTCTATTGAGCAAACTCATTCGTCGCCTTTTAAACATTTAGACATTTAACTTTTAGACATTTAGACGTTAGACATTTAACTTCCACAGCTGTACAGTTGGCAAGGAGCAGAAGAATATTTAATATTAAAGAGAGAATATTCTAAAGCATCACGGCATTCTATGGTATGGAACACACTGTAATTAGTGTACCTTAACTGAAAAAAGAAATCACATATGGAATTAGTGAAGGAAAAGGTGCTCATGTATTTATTTCCTTGCTAATACGCAATCAAATAAGACAAACAAATAATTCAGCAATTCAAACTAATAAAGGACTGATTTTCTAAAAGATTATGTCTTCTAATGCATTCACCAGAATAGAACTCAGAACAACTTTTGGTTCTACAGGTCTTGAAGCCCTAGATCAAATAAGCTTCATTTATTTGAAATGAATATTTCAAAGAGGTATTACCTCTCTTTCATTAGAATTTTGTGTTCCAGGGCGCCTGGGTGGCTCACTCGGTTAAGCATCTGCCTTTGGCTCAGGTCATGATCCCCGAATCCTGGGATCCAGTCCCGCATTGGGCTCCCTGCTCATCTCTACCTTTCCCCCTCCACTCATTCTCTCTCTCTCTCTCTTCTGCAAAAATAAATAAAAATACTAAAAAAAAAAAAAATTTCTGTTCCACATCAGAAATAATCCATTCGTTCAAGAAACAGTTACTGTGCAATGGCCTGAGGCACTGGAGATAGAGCTGTGACAGTTTTGCCCTTTAGAGCATTGAGTTTAGCAAGAAAGACAAACAGGAATGCAAGTAATTGCAACCAAGATGAATAGCACACAATGTCATGGACACCCCCAAGGGACCTACCAAGTCATGGGGACTGGGAGTGACAGTAGGAAAGGAAGGTCCTGGAGGAGGTGACATTTCAGATAAGACTTGACAACTCCACAGGTAAGATTAAAGGTACACATTGCATTTTGCTTCTTCAAAAAACTCCACTAAAACCATATTAAAGAGGCTTTAAAAAATAAACCTATAAGAATAAGGAGAACAGGAAAAGGGTAACTGCTCCTCCTCTCTTCCAGCAGGAAGCTAGAAATGTACTCACTAGAAAGGGTAAAAGAGAAAGTCATCGATCAAGAACATGGTTCAGTGACCATACATAATGGGAAGATTAATACTGATGTCCCAGCAAAATCTCCTGCTCACTCCAAGAACACAGGCACCAGCCCTTCACCTGTCAGATGGTCAAGTAAGGGTCCTTCCTCAAGGGGAATGTGACCAGCCCAAGAGGAAAGACTACTGACACCAGGGCTTCTGGGAGGGGGGGGGAACAACAGACCCACCTAGATCTCTCCAGTAAAGCTCCAAGTCAGTTAGCTTCACTCTCAGGCTCTTAATCATGAACAGAAAAGCAAGGTTGATTATCAGATATATCAAGAAAGCCTCTAGCATGGAAGATAGATACCGTACACTAAAAAAACAAACAGAAACAAAAAAGCATTTTGGAGGAAATAGAGACTATACACAGAGAAAAAAATTAAGAAAAACAATCATTAACATCCCTAGATAGATAAGATATTACAGGTTCAAAATTTAAAAAGGATCCTATAAAAACAGAAGAATTCAAAAAAACAAAAAACAAAAGAACTCAACAGTAGGGTTGAAGAAAGAGAGAGTAGATAGTAAAGGCAAAAATAAAACAGAAAGACAAGAAAATTGCAGGACCAGACCAAGCAATTCAACATCCAAATAAAGGATTTCCAAAAAGAAAGAACACAGAAAATGGAAGGTAAAAATCATCAATGAAGTAAATTAAGAACACTTCCCTGAATTGATAGATAGGAGTTTCTAGACTGCTGAGTGTCTGGCCCAGCTGACTCGCACAGCATTTATCATGTACACATCGATTACTGTTTTAACTATCTTATGTATATAAACTTGCTTAATCATCATGGCAACCCCAGAACACGGATGCCTTTATAATTATCATTTTACAAATGAAGAGACTGAGGTACAAAATGGCTGGGCAATTTGCCCAAGATCACACAGCTGGTAAGAGGCAGCACCAGGATCTGAAGGCAGGTAACATAGCCCCGGGACCCCTGACACGATACTACCATGCAGGCTGGAGCACCATTGTAAAATTTCAGAATACACTGCAGACAGTTCTATATGATCTTTTAAAACTAGGGGTAGCTATTCTTCCCATAGTGCACACAGGGCTTCATCCTCAACCAAGAGCCCAAGGGGAACCCCATGCAGACTCCCTTTCTCACCTCCACACACAACTTTCTTCCCTCCGATACCCTGTCCTACAAATTTGAGTCACATCGGAAGCTCTAAATTCCTATTCCTGCTTCCCAGCTCAACAAGAATACTGCTCAACCCTTGGGCTCACCGCCCTTCACCAAAGCCGAGAGAAGTATCCTCAGAGAGTAAGTCAGGGGAGAATGAAATGCTCCCCTCTCATCTCAAGGAGCACAGAGCCACCCAGTTGCTACCCAACGCTTGACAACAGTTGCCTACTACATTTTGCCTAGTTCTATAATTATGCATGGCAGGACAGTAAGTCTGAAACCAGTCCTTGTGTGCCTGAAGATATCTTTATTTCACCCTCCCATTTCAATAGTTCTAGGTTCAAAATTCTATCAACACTTCAATGTTATATTCCTGCAATCCAGTGTTGCTGTTGGAAAGTGAACATCAACTTGATTTTTATTATTTTCCCTATTTTTGCAACTGTTTCCTTTATTTCTCCAAATAATACAGCTTTAAATTCCTGCTCCATTTGTTCCATCAGGTCTGCTCCCTCTGATATAGGTAGGTTGCCTATGTCCTGTCATTCTTCATGATACTTTTATTCTTTAGATGTGTCATGATATTTTTCAACTGGGACTGCAACAGTAGCATTCCTGAGACCATCGGTTGCCTCTGCTTTGATGACTACAAAGGTGGCCCATTGAAAAGAGAGGGTCAGCTGGTGTCTTCACTGTGAGGGACGAAGATCGAGTTAAGCGCCTCTACTGCAGGTCTCTGGGCTTAACTGCGCTTGTTTTCGTTGGCATTTCTTTCTCCTTTAGATGCACCACCTAGTTCCTCTGTATCCGAAACTGCTTTCTTGAACTGGGGTTGGGGGAGACAACTCCAGTCCCCACTGGCCATTGGAGCTGGCATTACAGATTTCAACACTGAGATCAGAGTTTCAGGGAGGTAGACTGTTAGTATAAAATCATCTATTAGGTAGGGCCCTGGTGTTTCATTTTCTGTCCTGGACTGAAAACAGCAGGCAAAGTCATTGTAGAAAATCCAACTTTGAGCATATACTCCATGTTTGCAAACACAGTAGACAAGACTCATTCAGCTCCTGTCTAAGTCTGCCCGACCGAGATCACAGCTCCCACCCTGGACTGGCCCAAGACTCCATCTAGAGACTTCCACCTTTGTCTTCTCTCTTCTCCCCCTTCCCATCTCCCAGCCCTCTCCTCCACTAGCCCATCATTTTCTTTAGAGTTTCTCAAAATTCTGATACAGTTTTCAAGTCTGCCTCTGGATTCATTCTGCCTTTCCATGCCTTTGCTGGAATTTCCAGATTTCAGTGCCAGTGGAATGTTTTTAGCTCATCACTTTCATGGAAGCCAGAAGTCCACCCTCCTCAGGGATCATTCTGGGGATACTCCCTGTGGACCTTCCAGCCCAATTAGGTATGCTACAGCAGGCTGTGGGAGACATAGACCAGGCCAGTCTCACAGGAGGAATCAATGTTAGGACCTGCACTGTTAGAACATCTGGCCAGAATTACTAGTGACTGAGATGGGGTGGGGCATTTTCATTTAAGACACTTCCCACCCTGACCCCAGGCAGACTGCAAAGTAGCTTAGTTCTAATGCCAGACGTTTCTCAAAGGGAGCAAAACATCCAAATTTCTGGTAATGATGACATGCGTCTATATCTACATAGGGCACAACCCAATACTTAGAATTTTGTCATGCTTGTAAGTACCTATATTTCCATATCACTTATCTATATATCATTACAGAAATTATGAAAGTTTGTCTTCTTTAGAAAGATGAGCGGAAGACAAATTTCTTTTGTATGGTAACAAGTCATGGTGCTCCAAAATATATTTCTTTTATCAGTAAAAAATAGCAGTTTCCTGCTCTACAATCAACTCTCATTATTTAGTAATGTTCTATAAAGTTGCTGCAAACACTGAATTAGCAAATACTGAACCATTGCTCTTAGGGGAAACACGGGATTAGATTCCTGAGAGCCTCTGCTCACAACATTTTCATCAAACAATCAGTACATCATATGGTTTTATGCACGCTTCTCTTTAAAGACATTTTAATATATACTGTTATTCATTAACAATGAACATAGCCAACAGCATTATAACTCATGCCTGAAGTAAGCTTATCTAACGTATTTTCTCTGTAAGTCACATCACAGTCTTCTTGTGCTTGGGACATTAGACAGTGCTTTAACATTATACTCGCAAGCCATTTCAAACAGCAAAATCATCAACAAAAAGCACCCAAAAGAACACAAAAATCATGGCACTAAATAGACCATGAAAAGGACACTCATGTACAGTATGAGAGCTGAAATGAGAAGGCAGAGCCGTGCTTTGTTCCACCTCGGCTGGAAATGTGCACATCGGGTGGCTCAAATTTTTCACCACTCTATGTGTATCCATGAATGACTCACCCTAAATACTGATTTGGGGGTTACAAATAAATTTCAGCAAGTAGGAGAATTTGCAAATATGGAATCTTGAATAATGAAGATTGATGATATTATTAGTGCTTGTATAATGATGGGGAAAAAACTTTTTGTTAAAAGAAAGGAGTCTATAAAATGCCTTGTAAAGGGTATTTTGTTGACCTTGGTATACCCCTCACCCTCTCACCTCCACAAACAAACCTCTTGATTAACTAAGAAATGTTTTGTGCAATCTGCAGCAGTTTAGAGCCTACTAACATTTTATGCCGATCTGGTGGGTGTCTAGTAAAGAGAGCTCCGAAGCCTGTAGCAGGTAATCCAGTGTCCCTGGAAACAAGACAATAATTTTTAGAAAACATGTCAGACTGACATTTATAAACTTTCAAAGCCATATAAAACTAATTTGGGGCTGAATTTTTTTTATCCTTTTTTATTTTAATACCAGTGTAGTTAACATAGTGTTATATCAGTTTCAGGTGTACAATATAGTGACTCAGCAGTTCCGTACAAAGAAAGTACTATTTAGATTGCAGTTGACTAATAATCTAGTTATTCAGGCTGCTAAGACAGGGAATGATAATAGTAAAAATATGGCTTTAGGTAGGACTGATCAAACAAATAATGGTGCTTGGCATTGAGAAATGGCTTACTGTGTTATATTAATAATTATAGGATAAAATTGATAGTACCTATAATTGAAGATATACCTGTTAAATATGGGGGGAAAGTAGGTCAACAGAAGCTCCTGTGAGAACGAGGTTACCAGCTGGAGGTGGGTACAGTTCAACTTGCTCAAGCAATAACAAGTCAAGCACCTGCTTCAACTGTTGATTATGTAAGCAAGAATAACCATGACAGTGCGAGTAGTCAGAAACTGATTTACTTGAGAAACTGCTATATCGGGGGGGGGGGGGGGCGCCTGGGTGGCTCAGTCGTTAAGCGTCTGCCTTCAGCTCAGGTCATGATCCCAGGGTCCTGGGATCAAGCTCTGCATCGGCCTCCCTGCTCGGCGGGAAGCCTGCTTCTCCCTCTCCCACTCCCCCTGCTTGTGTTCCTGCTCTTGCTATCTCTCTCTCTGTCAAATAAATAAATAAATAATCTTAAAAAAAAAAAAAAAGATAGAAAGAAAAGAAAATGCTGTATCAGGAGCACCAGTTATTAACGGGATTGGTCAATTTCTGAATCCTCCCTCCAAGTATAACTTGTATAACCATGAAGAAAATTGTTACAAATGCATGTGTGGTTACAGCTGGGGCTGAAATTTTATGATAGTTTCTTAAAGGTTATTCATGTTTGCAACTTTCATTCACTTTGCAAAATAAAATGTCCTGACAAGTAAATGAAAAATTCAGCATTTTGTCATTGTTTTGACTGCATTTTCCAACAATTACAACACAAAACAAGATGAATGGAAAGACTTTTCCACGGAAAGACACTGTGCCAAGCTGCAGGACTACAGATATGAAGAAGAAACAGTTCCTATTCTCTAGGAACTATCTCAGGGGAAACACACATACATATAAATAACTAGAATGTAAGTCCAATTGTTTTACAGAACATGCTAAACAAAATGCTCAGAGGGCAAGAATATAAGAGCAATTAATCCTGATCAATGACAGCTTACCCTAATTCTTACTGCTTGTCAGGCAATATTTCTATGTACATTTCATACTTCTTTTCACCTAAACTTCAGAGCAACCTATGAAGTAGATACTTTTATAATTCCCATTATATAGGTTGACAAGCCGAAGATTATAGACACTATTTCACAAGTAAATTGCAGAGTTGGTGTTCAAACCTAAATAGTCAGAACACTGACCAGAAAGAAATGCATATAGAGGAGGTAACATTTTAGCTGGACCCAGAATGGGTAATGCTGATTGGCAAACAAATGAGGGAAAGGGAATTCCAGACAGAGGGAATGGCATGAACAGAAAGCATGGAAGCTTGAGATATGTTCATTGTGATTGATGTGGTACTGTAATGTGTAGCTGGGGTCGCTACACCTCCTCACTACTCATACAAGTCCCTTCCTGCATGTGTATGTTCTGTAAGCAAAGGAAAGTAGTAAGAATACCTTTCAATAATCCCAGAGCTCATTGTCTCGTCATTCAATAAAGCCTTTCTCTTTGTTTTAGCCAATTCTCTGTTTGAATAAACTTGTGCCATTTGTTCATGTGTTTCTGATATCCAAATCTGGAAAAAAATGGAAGCCACATATAAGAAAAACACATACGTTGCCCAAAACAGTCAGTTACTAAAATACTTTTTGAAGTACATTCTGATTTTAATTATTGATGCTGTTGACATTAAAAAATAAGTACCATCGGGCGCCTGGGTAGCTCAGTTGGTTAAGCGACTGCCTTCGGCTCAGGTCATGATCCTGGAGTCCCGGGATCGAGTCCCGGATCGGGCTCCCTGCTCGGCGGGGAGTCTGCTTCTCCCTCTGGCCCTCCTCCCTCTCATGCTCTCTGTCTCTCATTCTCTCTCTCTCAAATAAATAAATAAATAAACAAATAAATAAATAAATAAATCTTAAAAAAAAAATAAGTACCATCTCATAGCAGTTCAACTACTTCATCGTAAATATGTGAAAATGGCAATTCCTTACTATGTGTTATTGGAAAGTAAAAAATCAAATCGTTTGTTTCTATGAAATGCATTCAACCAAATACTAACTCTATGTGCTTTCTACTTTCTTCTCAAGGTTAGTATATTTTAATTTCCCTAAGTAAGAAAATGTTTGTAGCAATCACTTTGTAAATCACATTGGACTCAGATACCAGCACCACTGCCACCATCATCCATTCTCCATCAGAGGATTACTCAATGTATTATCAAGCACTTATTACTATGAGAAAGACCTGCAAATTGTAAGATGTACTCAAACCAATTGAAGAAGCATCATGAGTAACATTTAGGGAATCTTACAAACAATGGATGCTGAGGATTCAATATTTTTTTCCATTCCAAACTCTAGAAGATCATGAATGAATGTGGAGGTTCACAGAAGAGAAGCAGAACTCACCACTACCAAGAAAATCCATTACGTTCTCCAAACCTGAAGACATCCAATGAAGCCCTAGTCACATTAATCCCACCAGATTTTGTTTAAAAAAAAAAAAAAAAAAGGAAAGAAAAAGAAACCTCTGTTTAGATATTTGGAGACTTTAACTGAAAAATATCATAGCTATAGTCAAACACCTTTGGTCCACTTCAGGTTGGTATAATAAAGCTCTGCTATAACTAGGAAACGATCCTACTCAAAGCAATTTTAACTGTAATCTCTGGCCCTGGTTCCCTGGTCTACTCCATGGCTCTGTAGATCTTTGGCTTCTCTGACCACTGCTCTCTGAGACTTCAACCTCCTGAATCACCAGCCACCCAGCCCAATTTGCCAACTTTGACTCCTATACCCTTTGCTCAACTACTCTTCCTCATAGATTCCCAGGTTCACAAGTCAATGGTAAGAGACACTGTATTGAGCTTCATATTATACACTTTAACAAAAAATAAGACATTTCTTTTGGGAAAAAATTACTAGGCACCATTTTCATGTGTAAGATTGATCCAAAGGCACCTGTCAGTGCCTTCCACAGGCTATTCCCAACAGAAAGCCAGAAGGCAAGGAAGATCACTGAAGCTGTCCATAAAGGTCAGCCTCCGTGGCACAGAGCAGGGTTGAGACAGGGGGAAAGCAGATCTGGAGGGAGAAAGGAAAAACACTTGGCATAGTTTATCTTCATTTTAAGGAAGGAAAAATTGAGGCTGAAACAGAATAAGCAAGGCCCAGGTAAACCAGTGAGAAAGTAGAAGTTCCACAATTCAAAACGTTGCAGCCTGACCCATTCATTCATCAATCCAAATCTATGAAGTGCCAGGCTAGTGTAGGAAACAAACTCCAGAGGCTCCACTGACTAGAGTAGTGAGTTGCAGTAAATCATGGGAATAATGGTAATGACAACAGCACATGGCTAGACACTATTCTAAATGTCTTCACATTAAATGCTCATGAAAACTCTACTATTCTCGCTTCACACCTGAGGAAATAAAGACATGGAAAGTTTCAGACTCTTGATCAAAGTTACAACCTACTAAGTGGTGGAGCCAAGAATGAAAGAGAAGCCATCTATCTCCAGGACCCATTCTTAACCTCTATTTCCTGTATCAGGGGCAAATGTCCCTCAATTTGAGACCTCCCATCTTTATCAGTATTAGAACCCCAAAATTTTAGCTAGGGACCTCGTGTTTCAGACTACATTTTCTAGTCTCCTTAATTTTTTTAAAAATGTTTAAAGTTTTTATTTAAATTCCAGTTAGTTAACATACAGTGTAATGTTAGTTTCAGGTATACAATATAGAGATTCAATACTCCATACAACACCCGGTGCTTATCACAGCAAGTTCAAGTCTAGTTTCCTTTCTACTTAAATATGATGAGTGACTGGTTCTGAACAACGAGGCATAAATGGAAGTAATTTATACAACCTCCAGGAAAGGTCCCGCTTCTGTTTTTCTTTTCCTCCTACATGAAATGTGGACATAATGACAGGTTTCTGACAGCCATCTTGGGCTCTGCACAGGGATGGCAGGGTATAAAGCTGGAAGGAGTAGGTTTCTGACAAACTTCCATACCAGTCCTGACCTGCTATCATCCAGACTTTTTACATGAAAGAATAAAACCTTATGTGAACAGCCACTGTTGATTTGTGGTTTCTGTTGCATGTGGGCAAACCTAATCCTACACCATTTTAATGTGAAAAATCACTTTGGTCTAGCAATGTTCATAACCTGACATAAGGGTGGATAATTTATAAAAGCACTAGCATATGTTTAAAAGTCTTTTGGGCAATATATATATATATATATATATATATATATATATATATATATACAGTCACTCGTCATATTTGTGATATATATATATCACAAACTGGAGATTGGCAATTTGGTATGTGAGATTGCTAAATTAACACAGCACAAACTTGCCGGATAATCACTAAAATTTCCATTAAATTTGCATAATAAGTTCTAGCTTGAGTCAAATGGTAATATAAAAAATATCTAATGTGTGTTTAGGAAGTTCACTTCATAACATCATTCTTATTCCCCATTTTCCTGAGTATCAATTTTTCTTAAAGTCTCAACTTCTAATCTTCCAAGATGAACTCTTCCTATATGTGTGGCATTTAAGAAATCCCAGTAGTAGAATAGTGACTGTTAACTGGGTAACTGGTACAGGGAAAGAGAAAGTCATTTATAACTTCCCCTCAAGTTCCACATTTGAGGGTAACCAGACTCTTTCTGCTGAGGATGACTTACCCCCAGAAGAATCTCTCTTGGAAAGATTCATTTTAGTTGATCGCCAATTGACATTTCTTTCTTATGTTGCTTATAGGGTCCCCAGAAAGCAGACTCCTCTGATCCATACTTTAGGAAGTGCAGATACTTTCCAAGTCAAGTTCCCTCTGTGATGCCACAGGCTGCTTCAGGAATAAGTCCGACCTCAGTCAACCAAGGTCCCCAACTTCAGGGTAACAGTTATTCAAATTCCCTAAGGCCCCACACTACAGCAGGAAGTAGCTTATCCCATGGGGAAAGGAGGGGTGGAACTCATACATTTTCTCTAAAGGGTTCCTCCAAATTCCAAATACTCTCAGCCAGGTCTCTTCAATTTCAACCTTTTCTTTCTTTTTCTTATCTTCAAGGTGGATGAGAGACCAAGAGGCTTGGAATCAGTTACCGCCCAAATGCTTTGCATGTTCTATGTGACAGATTTGGCACCTCACTTTGGAATAAAGAACTTGGCATCTATCATCTTAGATCTTCAGTCATATCTGAAGAGTTTTATTTTACCTGTTAAGTAGCACTTCCCCTACCAATTGTAGCTTTTTTGTACCATTGCCAAAAGGTCATCATCATCAACAAGTAATATCAAGACTTCATAAAAAGTCTTTATCTTTAAAAAGGGATGATTCTTATTTCTCAGCAGTTTTGCTCTTGGAAATTCTGGCTCTATTTTCATGTCTAGGAGAACTCAGTAGTAGTTCCATACAGAGATTATTTAAAGGATCTCAGAGAATCAGTGAGGCTCCCTCCCCATCATTATTTTGAACAACTGGGACACATGGGGTATGATCAGAAAAATGATTTCATTCTTTTTTTTTTTTACTACCTGTTCTATCTTTTCTTATAATCACCTCAGATAACAAATCACCTCGATAACAAAACAAAAACAGTCTCACTTAAGTAATGAATGTTGGTAGAATAATCACAAGAGGGCCTTTTAGTTGTCTTGTGATCTGAGGGAAGGAAAGAACAGAGCAAGTGAAGAACTAGAAAATCAGCCAACCCTCCCCACACAGACAGACCTCCCTGGCCTGGAGCAGTCTAGCTGGAGGAAGAGAAAATCTTTCATCTTAAATGAAATTCATCATTTTGATGAGATACTTTAATTACTGAAATGGGACCAATAGACTTGTTATGATCAGAGAGTGACCATAAAAATTATAAAATCTGCATAACATTTTATCCAGGGTTATAGAAAAGAACTCACTCCACAAAGTAGGGTGAATAGACAGTGGAGACAAAGAATACAGGTGTGTGTGCGATTGCATCTTTTGAGTGCCATTTGTTCAACATAACAGTGCCCATGCTTTGGCAAACTGATATACTGAAAAATTAAAATCTGGTTTCTCTACGAGTTAAATGAGGCATGATTATTGCTATAGAAAAAGAATTATGAAGGAGAATGACAGGACCAAAATGGCAGACGCCTACATTCACTCCTGTCCCAGATCCCTAAAAATGACAGAGCAGATACGCACTTGAATCAATAAACCCATAGCTGCATCAGTAGACATGGAAAGTACACTCAGTTGGCCTAAATTTATACAGAATTCCTGGAACAGAAGAGGCAGGTGCACTTGTGCTGATGTTGGAAAAGACGATCCAAAGTAGATCCACGAGAGGATGCTGGAACTAGTGGCATCAACTCCAAGCTCAGAGATGAGAGAAACCTGAAGCAAGAGGAGACCCTGACTCCATCACCCACTTGCCCCAAACATCTTCCTTTTTCCTGGCTTAAGTGGTTCTCCTCCAATGGCATTTAAAATTATTCCATCTACAAAAATTTGATCCATATGCCTCTTTCAGGTACTTAGATCTGAATGCAAGAAGCATCTGTAAGTATAGTC